AAGAGCAATGGCCTCCAACCTAAGAGCGATGGCCTGCAACCTACTAGTTTCCAACCTTACTAGCTCCAACCTACTAGTTTCCAAAAAAGAAAGGTCCAAGCTTGGAGCGCGACCTCTTGGATCCGATCCTTCTCCAAGACTTTCACCGCCACTCGCTCACCCGTCAAGATGTGCCTCGTCACCGCGATAGGACGCTCCCAGCTACGAAGACGCTGCTAGTAACTGGACGCAGGACAGCTCAGGCACTAATTATTCTCATTTGGTTCTGTAGGCTGAAAATGCATGTCATTTGGTGTCGCTCACGAAAAAGAAGCTACTAGGGGCTCCTGGCATCGCTACTAGGAGCATTCTTACGGCAGAAACGGATCACTTCGCCTTCCCAGCTTCACCTTGCCAAAGGTGCCTTCGCCTTGACTCGCTTCCGACTCACCCGAAGTCCAGGGCAGCATGTCGCTATTAGGTTGGAGGCCATCGCTAGTAGGGTGGAGGGAGGGAGGGAGGGAGGGAGGGAGGGTTCCCTCTTTCTTTTCTCTAACATGTCTGGCATTGGCAAGTGCCACACGCAACACGCTTCGGGCGTCATAAAGAAAGGTTCGAAGCTAAGACGAGCAGAAACCCTTTCGATATTTTGATGCAAAAACTATAGAGGCACTATTAGGTGGAGGCCATCGCTAGTAGGTTGGAGGTCATGGCCAGTAGGTTTTGGAGGCCATCGCTATTGGGTTGGAGGCCATCGCTATTTGTAACTATACTCTGTAGAGGCAGTGACTGCGAAGATCACAGAGTAAAGAAAACCAGATCAAGGCCTTGTAGCATTGCTGAACAAATGTCCATTATTTGGATAATTTATGTATGACATCCTAATATTGGATACACACGTGTATTGCGCGTCAGAGCTAATTCATATATATATACACATCCGTTTCTTCGATTCCTTCTAATCTGTTCAAAAGCCACCAGTTAGGTTGGGGCTTGCTAAGGACAAAGGATGGCAAATGCTTGGATCAAGGCCAATGGTCTTTCCAAGAATGTAGTGACCTCAAAGAAATCAACTGCGCCACCCGGATGAAAAAGTGATAAAATTAAAGGTGGAACTCTTCTTCTTTCTAGCTGCTTAGCAACAAGGGCATCGCTACTAGTAACAAAGGCATTACTACTAATTAGTAGCTAGAAGCTATTACTGGGTTGGAGGCCATCGCTATCAGTTAAGTTTCCCTAAAACCTAGAAACCAATTCATTGGAGCGTGAGCTATCCTGCGTCCGTACTTGTTGCGTAAGTAAGCTACTAGCGACTACCTAGCTACTACTAGCTACTTTCTACCTCTACTAGCGGCCTACCCGCAAAAACAAAGAAAAAAGGAACTCATTCTACCTGTCGAAAAAGGGGAGTTGTTGCCTTGCACTCGGCTTGAGGCCCAGAGTCTTGTTGCTCATTGCATGGGGACTACGCCTCAGCCGACTTCAGTCACAAGGATATATGGCCTGGTGCATGAAGAGAAGAAACACTGTGTTTGATTCGGTGTTTGCCGAAAAAAAACGAGAAAAGTATCTCAGGATCTCGCTGCGGTAAGGCTGTGCTGCGTGCGCTTGGCACAGGTGAAACTGGCACATGGATTTGTGGTGCCTGGCACGGTCAACCTGAGCCAACCTGTCAACCAATCTAACCAGGTTTGTCTTGACGAATCTGTGCAGTCAATGTACGAAAGTTTCGTCTGAACAATCTGTCCCAACGAAACAGAACTTCAGAAAAGTTGAGAAGAACGAGAAGCTTCTTGTTACTACAAGTAAGGCACTTGTTCCTAGTAGCGTGGCACTTGTTACTACTAGCTTCTTGTTACTACAAGTATGCAAAGCTGCAAAACCCACAAACTCGGCCTGGCTCTTTGGCACTGTGACAACATTCACCATGGTCAGAACCTTGCTGGTCGCCAGTTGGAGGCCATCGCTGGTAACTCCAAAAAACAATTGTTACTAGCAGCGTCCTTAGGTTGGAGGCCAATCCACTCAGTTTGCGGCCGGTGATGGATGGCGGATTGCCACGGGTGATGCCATGCCTCCAAAGAATTCAGGTTTGCCAAGGCTTGCTACAACCTTCTTGCTACTAGGAGCAAAGTGCATCGCTACTAGGAACCAGGACGCTACTAGGGGCTCTCCTGGCCTTACTACTAGGAGCAAGAAGCTAGTAGGTTGGAGGCCATCACTTCAAGCAAAGGCACTTTATGTTCCGATTGATTTTTAATTTAGTCGAGGCCCTGGCAAGCCATGGCGTGATTCAATCTACAGTTTCTGACGGACTCAGAAACCAATGGTCTCTTCAAACTAAATTGAAGCTGAAGCAGCTGAAGTTTGGATGGGTGTGCACAAATGGCCGCCACATGAATGGAACGGCGGGAAAGAATGCAACGAATGTCTGTTAGCGTTTCTCTTTTTGGACACCGATGTGAACGACCACGTGGTCCGAAAACGTCTGATGCATGTCATGCACCAACATGTACCCTCCAACCTAAAAGCGATTTCCTCCAACCTAAAAATTTGCAAATTCCCCGAATGGTAACTTGCACACATTTGTCTGCATTGCACGGAACAATCTCCAGTTTCGGAAGTGCACCACTCGAGGCATTCGGCGGCCTCCTCATGTGTTCCTGCCCTGTCGTCATCTGATTTGCAATACTTTCTGCCAGTTGCAGCTTGGCGCCCTCAGAGTTTCGTTCACGGACAAAGTGCAGCGATGCAGACTTGACACAGTTGTGGGCAATTTTTGAAAACATCGTCCCCTTTTAGGGTGACCTCACCAGCAGGTAGTCACGCGCAAAGAAAAACCAAGTAATTACGCACACCACATGTACAGCAAATTTCATAGACTGAACTTTGTCGCACAAGTGGTAGGTCAAACAAGATGGTGATTCGCCCGAATTGTTTTTTGCCGAAAATGCGAATGTGCCTACACATGGTTCACACATCTTGTTTGCACGTCTTAGTCGAGAACTCATCACTCGTGCACGAAATGTGCGCGCTTTGGCGTGCGACATCCAACGCACCCTACAGAACATACACAGCAACCGGCAGCATCTCTGTGTTCAGCCTGGGGCCAATGCGTGTTGGACGCTTGCCAACGAGATGGACACGATTCTGGGTGCCCTGAAAGACACACAGAGTACCGCAACGTAACGAGCTTTCTCACTGGCGGGTCGCCCACACACTAAGGGGATGCAGAGGGATAAGTGCACTGATAACTCTTTCCACTTAGCTGGTCAACTGGCATATTCTCCTACTTGAGTCATTTGGTAACTTCACTGGCTATACTAGGTTCGGTATTGGTCTTTCCTGTTGGGTTGTTTCGATTTCTCAGATACTGTGTGAGGTGCTGAGCCTGCGGCTGTTCGGGCTCGAAGGTCAGTAGTTGCGCTCAGGTCTCCTCGTAGCAAGTAGTGAACTCTCGTCGACAGTCTTCGCTCAATGGCCCTCCCCTTCATTGTTGGCCCCCATCAGTGCTCTCTCACTCATGGCCCTGACGGCCGGCCACAAGTGGAAATTGTCTTGCGTATGCGGCTACCGCTTGCCGAATTTTTTGATGCTCTCCTACTGTCGCTGGCGGATCAACGCCCCCTTTTTCAGCAGTCAGGGTATGGAACTGCCCAGGCCTCTCCTGCCCCGGTCAAAGCGGGACTACAGACAGGTGGTCACATTGGCCCCATGCTGAGAGAGGAGGCCCCCCCGTACTGGAAGGCAGCCAGCTGTGCCCAGCCAAAGAGGTCTCCTCCAGGAGTGCCATTGCGTCCTCCCAAGCACGCTCCCAAAGTGGACCCAACTCATGAGAAGCTCCTTGCAGTGCTCTCGCAAGCTACGAGTATCCCTGACACTGCTGCGGTAGGGGCAGCCACTACGAGCAAAGACTTACCCACTCCCAACATCAATGCAGGGACGATGCTACCAATAACAGAGCCTGGAGAGGGCCAGCCTGACAGCCAGGCTGCTTGCAGCAGAGACCCAGAGCAACAGCATCCCCCTCACGGGCGCAGTCAACGTTACATTGGGGACGACGGGGCAAGTGAACACCACCCCCCTCAGCGTGTGTTCGTGCACCCTAAGAAATGCCCGGTCCAGTAAATCCCCGGGGAACCTGTTGTCCTTGTTCCCTTGCTTCGGGAAAGAATCCCTTGAACATGGCTATGCAGTTTGGTGTTTGCAGACCTTTGGCTCAGAGCGTTAGCCGCGAGGCACCAGCCGACTGGTTTCTGCAGCTTAGGAGCCCAGTTTGCGCTTACGCACGCTGTGGCTGTGCCACGAAAGCAAAGAGGACAAGAGGAGCCTGAAAGACCAGCCATGCAGCTACAGCAAGAACCCCTGCTGTTAGCAGACGACGGCACTTATGTCGATGTCACAAATTTTGTACGTTTTGAGCTCAACCATGATGACATACGCTATGGAGTTTTGGACCTCATTGTACAATTTTCCTATAAAGGACATCGTGCACAGTGCTATTTGCTGCATTTCTTTCCGGTGGACACAGTCAAGGAAAACGTCAAGCCCACTTTCCCAGAATGGACGGAGGGGCTTCACTTCCCGCCGGCATTGCTTAAGCTTAGGGCCACAGTAGAGGGAACCATCATTCCACCATGCCATCAACACTAGGGGAGCTACCACATATGGCACAAGGAGAACTCTGGTCCGCAGAATGATCCTGCATATACAGCACCATGAAGATCATCTTCTCACTGTACTGGCAAATGCGGTGCCAGCCAGGGAAATCACAACAAACATGGACCCTCTCGAAGCCTTCTTGCAAACGCGCCCCTTTCCAGGCTCGCTCCCACGGCGCGCAGGATTTTGGACGGTTACTGACAGGCAGCAGCCACATGCACTCCGCGTGGATACACAGTCAATGGCACAGGCGCCCCCTCAACGTCATGTAGAGCGCACACACCATCAGATTGAATCAGCTCTCCACGCCAGGGTGCAAGGCTTTCATGCTTTGGTGCATGACATTGAACAAACTGTTGATTACATGCCACATGATGTGCAAGGTGCCCTTCTCACCCCCCTTACCGACTTGCATTCTCAGCTGTGTGGCCTCGTATACGTTGCCTGGTTACTCTCCCTCTTGCACCCTCAGGCAAACGACCATGAACAATAGGCATAGGGGACGCAGTCCATGTGACATGCTGTTGGCGCAGGAGCACTTGGTCCTTTTCCTGCTTGTATAAAGATTCTGGTTCTTTGAGAAGTAATCCCTAGCTGTTTTGGGAGCTCAGCCGTTTCTCTGCAGTTGCATCGCGCCGTAATATTTGGCTCACAGCTGGTCCTTGCACCATGCATGCAGGAGTGGGGTCAGCCTTAGCTGACGTCACCCGAGCCGCCTTCCCCCTCGCTCGCGCCTGCCAGTGCAACTGCCAACCTTAGTTGGTGGGGACTGCACTAGCCTTTTCGAGCTAAGTAAACCTAATGTCACAAGATCCCTGGGAGGTGGAGGACAATCCATTGGACCTCAACGATAGCATGGATGATAGGGTTCATGTGCCTATAGCCTTCACACAGGCCACTGCGGACTGGCTCCCAGAAGCTGGCCATGCTCTCTTTGCCCAGGGCACTGCGGTTAGTGTTTCGCAGGTCCAAGCAGAGGCATACGCAGCCTTGGCAATGCCTGATTGCCCTAGTAGTCCCTTTGGCCTAGACTCTGCTCGACCTACCCTGGTGTTGTCAGATGTTCGTGCACAGCCGCCCAAACAGGACGAAGGATATGACACACAGGAGGCAGAAGGAGACCTACCAGACATGACCGCCATTATACATACACTCATGTTACATCGAGAGCTCATCATGAATAATCATATGATCTATTTGATCGTTGATAATCGTCCGCCTGCAGAGGTCCCTCATTGGCCGGCCTTTGCAGCATGGTGGGCCTCGCGCCGGTGCCTAGTGGGCCCCCAAGAAGAGGCAACTGAAGTACTTTGGGTTTGTGCGGATGCTACTACTGGCCTTCACAAGATTCCCTACTATTGAACAGGAGTTCTTGTCTTAGAAGCAGCCCGCTTTCTGTACCCTGCTCAGCACTTTGCACTCATTGACAACGATTGGGTACCGGTCACACTCTTCGAAGTGCAAGACCTACTACAATTGGCTCACCAGCAGCACCAATGGATTGACCTGATAGGGTGCGCGCGACCCCTGTCTCGCTCCTGCTCAGGAATTGGCACGCTGCTCTTCACAGAGGCTCACTTGGAGTACAATGCAGGTTTGGTCATCTCGATAGGCAACCGCCACAAGAGCAGCCCAATGGAACACGAGACAAGCGCTGCGGCGCTGGCAAAAAGCCTCCAAGCGTGCCGCCTTGCACTAGTCTCTCGAGCCAAGCCACCGATTAATCCGAGTGAGGCCGCCATTAACGGGACTATGTTCACTCCCTTTGTTGGAGTACCAATGCAAACTGCCCTTGACCTGTGCATAGTGTGGTCACTTTATGGCCTATACACGCGTAAGCATTTCTGGCCCTGCCCTGTCACGAACACCAGTGAGCTCGGTCCTGGCGGCACTATCAGATGGCCGCGACAATCCCATCCAAATGCGCTCACCCGGTGGGGGAGAGCGAACCCCATGGCTCACTAGTTGGGCTAGGGCCACTTTCGAACAGGGGATCCTGTCAGTGATCCCAATGTTAGAAGGGCCATGCACTGCCACATCACTGCCAGGGGAACATCTTTTCCAGGCCAGTGCATTGCCACGCAATCGTATGCGACCAGCCATCTTTCATGCCTTCGGTCATGGACCACACCAATAAACCTCGAGCGCTGCCTGAAGGTGCATTCTGTGGAGCAGGCATTGAACAGCTCTGTTTGCCAGGTGACTTTCACAATATCGGGCCACGGGCCTGTGAAAACTGCAAAGGACTTGTGGAGGTCAACCTCATGTGCACAGAAATCACAGCCCTACTCCATTCCACCTTTGCCCACTGTGTAGCCTTAAATTGCATATGGCTTCCACCGCGACTCACGCAAATTGGCAAAGAAGCTTTCCTTAATTGCGTTGTGCTCCAAGAAGTGGTCATCCCGACAGAGCTCAGTGACATAGGCATCCGTGCTTTCTGCGGGTGTGAGCAACTGAAACGATTTACTACCCTGGATTGGTGGGATATTGAACAGTGTGTGCAGGCAGAGCACAATGCTTTCTTTATGTGTGACAAATTTGAAAAACCCCTGTGGGTGGAGCTGCTCCCCGCTGAAGGACCCGATTCGGATGCCTTTGACGAAGAGCTATACAACGAATT